GTCCGCCTGGAGCGCGGAAGGTCGCGGGTTCGATCATACCAAAAGACGTTTAAATATGGTACTTGTAGGTCCCTGCCTGGCGCTCGGCATTAATGGGTAAAACAAGGACTAGTCTGCTCGGAGTCAGTATAATGTGTCTGAGTGGGGTATTCATGCTTAACTGCAGCATGGTATCTCATTGAGCTAGCACTATAAAACCAGCTTCAGTCTGGGCTAGTACAAGCAGCCACACATACACACGCATGCACGTCGTGATATGAGCGAAATAATCCAATAAGCACGACGTTAAAGCCTATTTCACCACACCTCATCATGATGCACCCAGTAGGCGTTTATCAAGTACAGGTTGGCGCAAACAAACAAGCATTATCAGACCGAAACTTGAATTCAAAATAGCAAACAAGAGATCTGACCCATCTGCTCACCCATGGATAGAAGTATTTAGTGATTTAATGTATGAACACCACCTACGTCTAAATGCCACTCAAACAAACTACGGCGCTGTAACATTAACGTTGAGTCCGGGTGAGACGTAATATTACACACACGTTTGTATAAGCTTCACTTTGTTATTTTACTTTTTTTCCTCTTAATATGTATTTTACGTGTCCGATGAATTAATTTCAAACCAATATATCTATACTGTGAATTTCATTTGTTTCGAACGCGACAGGAAATTAAATACAGTTTTCAGACGTTTTTGTTTTAAATTTACTTAAACACTTTTGTAAATCTTCAAATGGATACTGGTCCCTTTTAATGTCTGTGAAGCACGTCAAGGGTGTGTGATATCGGGACAACATGACAAACTGTTGTTTTCCAACACTTATCCGCATCGTCTAGATCAAAATAAACAACTCGGCCAGAATCTGAAGCCTGTTTAACACAAATGTTAGACGTTAGAAAAACGCGATAACACGTGATCGTTGCATTTGTTTACAATTGGTATGTACACGACATCTGTATACTGAAGTCCATTTTCGTCAGGGAATTTTTGCTTCTTTCAAATTATAAAATGTCATCTTACAGAGTGTGAGTGTGTGTGTTTTGTTCTGTCCTAATTTGCATAGAAAGGCTGTTACTAGTTTGTTACTAACAAGTCACAATTTAATTCTGGAAACCAGTTTCTGACACAGGATTTAACAAAATTCAACATGCAGTTATCATGAATATTAGCTAAGGATGTAAAAGAATGAATATATTTTTCGAAAATTAAAAATTTAAACTACTTCGAAACAACAAAGAAACATCAGCTTTGAGCAAATGAAAACATTCTCGCCCATGGGCCAAATTATCCAAACTTGCCGATTTAGGTCAAAATTATGCTTATAAACATACTTACATTTATTTACAACCTCGAAAACATGTATTTTGAGCAAAACTAGACATTCTCGAACTCGGGTCCTCGGCATGACGAGCGAACGCTTAAAACCACTAGGCTACCCCACCGCCCCGAAAAGTTTGTCAGAACAGTCTGCGAATGATACGTATTATTATCAAAGTCCCAAAATACGGGGGCGGTGGGGTAGCCTAGTAGTTAAAGCATTCGCCATGCGGAGGATTCGATTTTCCACATGGGTTCAGTGAGTGACACCCATTCCTGGGGTCCTCCGCCCTGATATTGCTGCAATGTTGCTAAAAGTGGCATAAAACCAGTGGCATTGACACACACTGACCTTCAATACCAAGTTGTAAGGTAATTAGCATTGTGTGTTAAGCTATAAGACTATATGCATGTTCCGTCCTAATTCCATAATCCACTCAGCTGTGTTGTTAAGCTTTCTTGTAAACTAATACCTTCAAACATAACAGTTTTTCAGTAATTCATAAAGGTAGGAGGGTAACGTTTCTTGAGGCATGTATTGCATGTATTTTGGCAGATGACATGCACAGAATAAAAATTGGCCACTAATAGACGCTTCTCTTGGTTAATTTAAGGTGTTGGGGTTCCAAGTTAAATCCTCGAAAGCAAATTCTAGGTTATTTAATTATCCTAGACCAAACATAAAAACCTTAAAGGGTTATTCAAAGCCGAAGAGATATTAAAGTACTATAATTCTGATGTGATAGGGTTTCATAGAACAACATACCAATACTACATTGTATTGGAAACTGTGTATCTGGCATACCGTTTCAATGATACATTCGATGAATATTAGTTTGTTAATAGTCATGAAACAGACCAGAAATCTCAGCAATATATGCCTCAGTACAGGAGCTTGTTTTTAGATTTGTTAACGTGTGCAACATGTGAAATAACTCAGTACCATTTACCGGTAACACAGTTCATGTTTTCTGGCGAGAACTGCAACAATGGTATTCGTGTACATACAGATAATCTTTAAAAACACATACACGTCGGAACAAAATTAAGAAATTGTGGAATATCAAACCTTGCTTTTCATGTGTAATTCTTATATCATAAACAGTAGGAATGACACGTCTTTATGGATGATCAACTTCTTTATTGTAAAATAACGACGTTTCGGTATATATGAGAAACCTTTTCACTACCTAAGGCCCTTACCAAAGCTAACACAGGATTTCTTGCAGATGACGTGACAAAGACGGACAAAACACAGGTTGCATCGTGTTATCTTCACATGTACGATTGATAGGTAGTTTATCCCATCTATTCCGAATGAAACTTTGCTAATCAAAACCATTCATTTCTTGCAGTCTTGGAAAGAATGTAAACGGAATATCTCCACACTTGTTTCTTATGTCTAAAACAATTGCTTTCTCATTCAACACTCTCTCAGTCATCCTTGAAGCAGGTTTAGGACATTTGTACAGCAAGTTCTCGAAGCTTCTCTTCTTCACCCCAGCCTTCATGGCCAACACAACACTGACATACAGGTCATCCATGTTCGTGATGCGGCAAGTTTCTGAAGCTTTGTACAAGGCGTTCCAAGCTATTTGTGTTGTTATGTAAGCAAACCCGAGACAATAAGGTGGTAATTTGGGAAATGGATACTGGGATACAGGCGTGTACCATTTAGAATATTTTCTCCTATTTGGCACGTCACCAGAGATGACTTTGCAATACATCGACATTCCCTGAGGATTTTCTTTTAGTAAAAAATCTATAATTCTATAAGGGTTAACAAATGTGTCATCGTCTAACTTAAGAATATATGTCGAGTTACAGTTATATTTGACCCAGTGCATGGCCATAATATGCTTTCTACTGAGATTTTTATAACTGTCTAGGAGATTACCCTGAACAATATCATGGTGAAGTTGTGATTCTCTGTTTATGGAATCCTGCAGGGTTTGTTGTTCAACAGTTCCCAAAATAAAGGCAACTGCTAGGCGTTTGTCCCTGTAGGATTTAACAGACCCGAAAGTTGTTCGGATCATATCTCTCTTATTGTAGTTCATGGCAGCAGAATGTACCACCATTAATAAGAAAATGCTTCTCTCAGAACATGCTTCTGAAGTGTGAATGAAGGAAAACAGATGCTGGTTGACGAAAGGGTCTTTTGTCTCGTTTTTCAGCATAGTGAAGTGATTTTCAATTTGATGGTTAATGTTGTTGCCATTTACTGTTGTTTTATAGAAATCTGAAGAAACAGGTCTTGTCCTTGAAGCAGGTGTTGTAGGCCTCGCGGTATGTGACATTGTTTGCTCTGTTATGAACTCACTCATTGTCCCTCTCATTGTTTCGTGTCCCTTCATGAATTGCTGACAGAATCTACGTAATTGAGGCTTTGATGTCATTGCGCCGAGGTTCCAGCAGAGGTACATAGTAATGCATATGCAAGGTATGCTATAGAGGAACCATAACCTGGGCACCATACCCATCTCTCCTGGAGAATGTTGTCTCTGAAAGACATGGAATGTTGTTAATTAAACTAGCTGTTACAATCATAACTAGAAACAATATGCCAAGTTTCTGAACTGTTGTTTTTCCTTTTCTTGTGTTATTCTATTCTTTCATCATTCTTTAAATGAAATATGTTTTGCAGTTTACCTCACGATCAACTTATGATCTTCTTGACGTGTTTCATTTCGGTGTACATATATGTATATTGATTGTATTATCTATACTCAAAGGCAAAAGAAACGTCGTAATATTGGAAATGACATTTAAGTATAAATGGAGTATTTGAACCTATTTTTAAAAAATATACACCGGAAGTCAAGTTTGAGGAAAACATGAATCGTGGTCGTGTAGCCTGTTTTCCCCAATAAAGTATTGTTTGAGATTGAGGTGAGAAATGTTTTTGTTTGTGGAAATTGAAGAGTTCACACGTGCATCATGCATGAAACTTCTTTGAGACGCATTTAGAATTTGGAGCAGTAAGAAAGGATAGCAATATATGGATGAACAGCTTCTTTATTGCTGTGAGAGCGACGTTTCGGTGTAGGTTCTAACACCGTTATCAAGCAAGTGATGAACAGCATAAGGATGAAGGAGCATATGTACAAGTCAGAGCAGATGTTTGTACAGTACAATAGGGATTACGAAGCCAGACACAATAACAGCACAAGGGCTGGAAGCCAGACACGATAACAACACAAGGGCTTAGGTGAACGCGTTAACAAATGAAGCCTGCAAAGTACACAATGGGAAGTGAAGCCTGTGATATACATAAACAGGTGATTATGAGGATGATGCGTTGTATACATAAATGGGGGATTATCGATGATGAGGATCTTTAATGAGCTGGTAGTACGCAGGAGGTATGTAATAACTTTGGTCACGGTTGATTAATGGCTGGAGTCTTTTGATGTAGATGGCTTCTTTGAGTTTCCTGAGTTTATAATCTTTGAGGTTGGTTGTTGGGGTTTGGGTTTTGTCCCACTGAATATTGTGGTCGGGATCGCCTTTGATGTGATCTGAAAGGGCTGATTTTGAGTCTAGATTGGATACTGAGGTCTGATGTTCTTTGATTCGTATTTTGAGGGGTCTTGATGTTTCACCTACGCAGGTCTGTCCACAGTCGCAAGAGACGTGGTAAACTGTTCCCTGTGGTTGTTATTTCTGGCTGGTTAGACAGCGATACAACTCCAACAACAGCACTGGTGACCGTCCACGTAGTGGTCGACCCTGTGTAACATCTCGGGCGGACCATAGACCATAGGAAACCACCATCGACCAGTCAGTGACCGAACCATTCGGCGACGTCTCCATGCCAGGAATCTGTTTTGTCGACGTCCTCCTGCCAGGGGACCCATATTCACCCAACATCACCACTGGGAACGTCTCCAGTGGCACAACTAGCGTGGGAGACAATGGAGAGGGCTTATCTTCTTTGATAACTGCATTTCAGTAAGGTGGTGCATCCATAAATGGCATGGCATTTGCCTATGCAATTCATTTTTTATGTTCTTAGTTGTTTTCACCGACACTTGGGAAAGAACCAGCTTCTGACATTTGACCAAAAACGCACCTAGCACATGTGCCGTGATAGTCAAGCTCTGTTTGAATCTGATCCATAAAGGTTCTTGTGATTCGTGACGATGGAGTTCAGTACTTCAAATCTGAGTCCAACCAGTGTTCCTAATTATAGAAAACGTGTTGACCAAGTGTGTGGCCCATCCAGCATACAGAGCATTATAGTGCTGTAGTGAAATGTTATGTAACAACTCCCGTCCTCGACGGATTTTACGTATGTACATGCGCATGGGTCTGTGATCTGGCACCACATGGCCTAATGTCCCCATCTGTAAAACCTGACTGACATGATCAGTCGGGGAGACGTTCTCCAGTCTAGGAGACGGGCCCAGATCATCGACAGAAGCTGACGGATTGTGCAGCTAGTCGTGGCGTCGACCAAGGCCGTCGCCTCACCAACGACTAACTCGACGATGAAGGCTCATCGTCCGACTTCTCAATATGTGTAAGTGACAGAGCGGGTCTCCACATCGGGAACATTGGCCACTCGGTCCCGGTGTGCGTTCTGTCACATGATCACCACCGGCTTGTACCATTTTGACTATGATCCCCAGCCATAATACAAATGGCTGCTGTCTCCTTCAATCCAACCGCTGACATTTGTCTTTTGTCTGTCCACCATCCTGAACTACTAACCGAGGGCACCCCAACGAACCACCCATTAGTGTTATCTACTTTAGTTTGAACAGTTGTTCTTAGACATGAATAGAATGTTCCAAGGTGAGGTGTTGGACTATATATACCTTCATTTGTACGACATGACACGTGATCTCAGAACACGTTCAGACAAGACAAACTGAACTCACGAACATAGAGGAACAGATTCGTTTGCGTTCATTGCAATAAGACGTACAGTCTGGTATTTTACCTACCTGTTACTGGAATCCTCTTGAAAGCAGTGTTAAACCAAACTCAGCTACTCACTGACCAGCCACTCAAACCCCTGTCTCTCCCGATTCATTGGAAAATTCAACCGCATCCAACTGTGTCGTGTCATCACAGGTAGATTTCAAAGGAGACGGTGGCGTAATTTTGTGTGATACCTGTAACAACAGGTACACCAGTTAGAGAGATATGGTCGAGCAACTTCGGGGTCTGTTAAATCCTACAGGGACAAACGCCCGGCAGTTGTCGTTATTTAGGGAGCTGTTGAACAACAAACCCTGCAGGAATCTGTAAACACAACTGCATCATGATATTGTTGAGGGTGATTTCCTGGACAGTTATATAAATCTCAGCAGAAAACATATTATGACCATGCACTGGAGGATGAGAACTATTTTTATGGATATACAACTTCTTTACTCTGTATAGGCGACGTTTCGACTTAGGTTCTTAATGTCGTTGTCAAGCAAGTGACACATGAGAAGTAATTTTGGGTGATATATATACATGATATGTTTGGACAGTTGATGAAGCATGAGGCGAAATTGAGTTGTTGAAGAGGTTGATAACACAGATAGTATATAGGATTAAGTAGGTTGATGGAAGCCATTTGATGAAAGTACATGGATGTATACATAAGGGATTAAGGATGTTGATAGGCAGCCATTAGGGAGTGATGTACATAGGTGTGATTTCAAATGAAGTCAAACGGACTGTAAATCACAAACTGGAGGTGATAATAATAAGAAAGGAGTGAGTGAGGGTGAGTGATTGAGTGGGTTTAGTTTTATGCCGCACTCAGCAATATTCCAGCTATATGGCGGCGGTCTGTAAATAATCGAGTCTAGACCAGACAATCCAGTGATCAACAGCATGAGCATCGATCTACGCAATTGGGAACCGATGACATGTGTCAACCAAAAATAAGAAAGGAGCACAGAAAATGAGTGATGACACCTGGTGTTCCTGGAAACAGGAAACCATGTGCGTCATACAGTATATATGGTTTTTAAAAATTGTTACCCGCCACATTTGAACTACAAGTCTATTATCTTTATAGCAAAAGGCTATTAAATCATAGAATCTAAAGTCTCAAAAGGCTATTAAATCATAGAATCTAAAGTCTCATATTAAGTCCAAGTAAAATACTAGTTAATCGTTAATCGTTAATCCAGATCGGACCATTCCTTATTAAATGTTTCAGCTTAACAAAATACTCAGATTAACGAATTAGTTACTGTACTGTTGTGTTCTTTCATAGATGTGGGTTTTAAAATAAACGCCAGAAAACCGAGGTCTTGAAGAAAAGTGGTTACACAAAATACAGATAAGTCTGTCTAACTGCGCGCGAACCATAGTATCTTCCGTAGCACCAAGCCGTTACTTTAACGGAAAATCCGTATATGAAGCAAGTGAAGATTGAACATAGTGATATTGACATCATAAGCGTCGATTTACGCATCTGGGATACGATGACATATGTCAACCAAGACAGCGAGTCTGACCATCCGATCCCGTTAGTCACCTCTAGCGACAAACATTGGTTCGTTACTCGGATCTTCTGGGGTTAATGCTGATGAGAGTTATAACAGCATAAGGTCACAAAGAGTATTACATCTCAGGAAAATATCATTCATATCATATTAGAAACATTTTGCACCCATGGACCCCAGTATTCGTGCTTGAGTTTGTGATCCCGTCCTTGACTACTCACAACGTAACAAAATCTCGTGAGCACGTTGATCTCGCGATAGCCTAATACGAGAGCGACAGTGTTTTGTTTCCCTTGATTAAAGAGGATGCGACTTTGGGATGGTGTACACTAATCATCCTAACAACGCTGTTGTCCACGTTGCATTAAGAACAACCCAATGTAATTTACATAATTATCGACAGCATGATTCCCGTTACATAATTGTTGATTCCCGTTACAGAATTGTTGAAAGAAGTGTGATTCACGTTACATCACGGGTGAATACGGCGTGATCAGCGTTGAATACACTTCGTTAGACAAAATAACGCTGAGACCTGTAATTAGTGCGTATTTATCTCCTTACGAAATAAGTACGCACGAGGGATTGTATGCGTTACCTCACGGTCATAACACTAGAGACCTAATGGTGAACTCTCAAATTACATCTGGCTGTCAAATTGTCAGGCCGTCTCATTGCACCGTATGTAAATTGTGTTGCTGGTGGCAAGCCTTATTGGTCTTCACCTTAACAAAACTCATTTATCTGTTGACAAAGGACATGTTTATGTTACAGTTGTGATTATGATAATTGTTAATATTTCCTGTCTGTCTAACATGTGTAATCCTGGAGCAGGTGTTGCATGCTTTGTAATAGTACTGACCATCCAGGTTAGGACAAGAGTACTTCACAGGTAACAAGAGTCTTTGTGAATCGAACGCAGATTGTGTTCATGGGGCGTACGTTAAGAAGCACTTATATATCTATGTTACTACGGGGACGGCCAGGTAGCCTTGTGGATAAATTACTAGCATGCTTAAAGCCATACTGGCTCACTCACTAGTTACGGGCACCACAGTTGAGATCTAGGTTCGATTCCCATGTGATCACCATTCAAACATAATAAAATGTGTGAAGCCCATTTCTGGGGTCAACCGCGATTATATTACTAGCATACTGCTAAAAGCAGCGTAAAGCCATACTGGCTCACTCACTAGGTTACTATGGGCACCACAGTTGTCTGTCAGCACCATCTATGGAATCTATACAGAGCACATGTTATTCCCATGTGATCCAAGTCCATTCAAACATGTTGTGACCAAAAAATGAAGAAATCGACACAAAAAACAAACATCCCACAAGAAACAAACAACAACAAAACAAAACAAAAGCATGAATTAGTAACATCCATTTATCACCATAGACCTTGTGTTAGTATCATCCATACACACAGATCATCCAACTTGTGTTGGTATCATAGTATTCAGTAACAGTATCATCCACCCCCATCCATACACCCGACCTGGTGTAAAACCAAACTAAAATCAACAAAACAAAGAAAACAAAAAGCATAACAAAACAACATCAACAGAAGACTTGTTCCAAACTCACAATGTATTTCAGAATTGAACCTTTATCAAAAGTCCAACTTATACACACATCCTTTGTGTTAGTAAAGGCCATCCATACACACATATATGTGTTAGTATCACCATACATTAACTTGTGTTAGTATCATCCATACACACAGACCTTGTGTTAGTTAAATGACATATCAAATAGCAGCCGCATTTAATGCAATGACCTTGTGTTAGTATCATCCATAGGAAGAAATCTGTGAAATCGATTTTATTCGGCGTAAAACCAAACTCAGTAAGCAACATCCATACACAGACCTTGTGTTAGTATCATCCATACATAGACCATTGTGTTAGTATCATCCATAAACACAGACCTTGTGTTAGTATCATCCATACAAACAGACCTTGTGTTAGTATCATCCATACACACATATCTTGTGTTAGTACCATCCATACACACAGACCTTGTGTTAGTATCATCCATACACCCGCCATGATGTTGCTGGAATATTGCTAAAAGCGGCGTAAAACCAAACTCAGTTAGACAGTCAGTCATCCATACACACAGACCTTGCGCTTGTTACATTGATATATATATACACAAAGAGGATCCGAATTGCAGGAAAACTAAGTATTTGAATAGTAAACAGAGGTAGTATGCAGAAAAACTAACATTATACTTTAACAGTATCCCCACCAGAAGTCTAACAGGCAACAGCAGCAGACATGACAGATAGACTAATGCTTAGTCCCGGAATATATACAATTTTTATAGCAACAAATAAACCCATTTAAACTGAAAAGGAGCCCCAGTGAGTGAACCTAGGGGAATCTAGACTTGCTTCATTTAGGACTAGGCATTAGGGAAAATAATGTGAGACATGGACTGTGAGACAGACTAACATGGCAGAGTGTGTGTGAATACATGACCATGTCAGGCATATTTCAAAAGTGAGTGAGTTAAGAATTTATGTTGCATCGGCATTATTTCAGCCATATAGCAAGGAGACGAAATTTAGTCATAGACACAAGTCCATCCTTAACACAAAGTCCTACTCAAAAGCAGTTTCTTCTACACACTCCTAAGATCGAAATAGATCCAAGGCGCCATGACAGTATGTGGATGTAAGATGAGAAGATCAAAGCAACATCCCTACAAGATGAGGAGGAGGTCCGACACCAAGAACATAAAACCAACATCTAACATGCAGCCAGTCTCTTGACCTTCCACTACACACATTGCTCTCCACATGAAGATGGGGTTGACAACAGTCGAGGTAACTGATTGTTGAGTGAGTGAGTGAGTGAGTGAGTTTAGTTTTAACGCCGCTTTCAGCAATATTCCAGCAATATCCCGACGGAGGACATCAGAAATAGGATTCACACATTGTACCCATCTAGGGAATCGAACCCGGGTCTTCGGCGTGATAAGTGAATGCTTTAACCACTAATTATAGTGAGTGAGTGAGTGAGTGAGTGCGTACGTGCGTGCGTGCGTGAGTACATGCGTGCGTGCGTGAGTGCGTGAGTGAGTGAGTGAGCGAGTGAGCTTTTACCCTCCGTCTTAAGGGAATTAAGCGAGGACTGCTCCTTGAGCAGGCAGGTTACTGTGTCGGAGTACATGCGTGCGTGAGTGAGTGAGTGAGCGAGTGAGCTTTTACCCTCCGTCTTAAGGGAATTAAGCGAGGACTGCTCCTTGAGCAGGCAGGTTACTGTGTCGGAGTACAGACACACACACTATTAATCTAAGTGAAAACACTTGAACACGACGCAAAACCCCATTTCATCTCACCTCTTCTGATATAGAGGTCAGTAAGTCTGCATCTGCTGACAACAGTTCAAGGCGTTTAGCCACACATAAACAATTATTTAGTGATAAGTCCATATCTCCACGCCATCAGTACCCGTGCGCTAAATGTCATGAGCTCAACGCGTTCCAAACTCCAATCACATTTTATCGCCGAGGCCTTCAGTTGGCCCCATGGCTTGTTTTCAACCATAGTTCTACCCCCGGCTGTGTCGTAACAAGCTGTCACGGGGGCATGGCCATGTTCTTTGATAATTAGTG